GGATTGGATTTTTATCAGAGCACCAGCTGACTTGCCTGTTATCACTAAGTTATATTTCATTCCATGTAAGTCATCCTTAGTCATTGCTGAAACAGAAAGCATTTCTTTCCCCCTTGTGTTTCAGGTGGCCATATGCTACATTAGCTCTCGCCCACACTCAGTCAATGTCAACTGTGAAGGGGTGTTCTTCAGTGGACTTCTGCTCTATCTCTGTGACTCCTTTGTTGCTGCAGACCTCCTCAAGCGGTTCAGGTTTCTCAAAGGTAATCTCACTTCTCTGCTAGGCATCCTGTGTGCCTCTCGCCAGCTAATAATAGTGCGGAGGAAAAGGGAAAGGCAAAGGCATAAACAGCTTGATTAAACAGCTGCATTATTTTCACAGTTTGTTTTGGCACTGTTTTCAAAAGAAATAGATGGAGTGGTTTTTGAGGGTGTATCAAACTTCTGTTCCTGCTGCCAGATAATTGAACCTTAGGTAAGCATTGATAAATGACATTCATTAAGTTACTTTAAAGTGACATCAGCAAGGATTCTGAAAATCAGGCAGTGAATTGTGCAGTCAGCAACTTGAGAGTTGTGAGCATAGATGTTATTGATGAGGACAGGAAATTCTGCTCTGGCAATCAGTCTAAAACATCAATAAATCTTCAATTCTGTAAATAAAGACAGCTCTTAGCTGGAGGAGAATTTGGTCTGCCCCACCAGAACTTGATAAACTCATCCACTCATAAAAATCTTCCTTTTTGTCTTAATGCTGACAATTAGCAATTAGCAAATTGCCAGAGGAATTAAATAATGCTGAAGGTGTTGCAGAGCTCCAGTGCAGTTGTGGTGGCATACCTGAGCTGTTTCCCTCTCATGCTGACTGAGGATGGTGCATGTGCAAGGAGACCACAGGGATGATGACCCTTAGCTAGTTCCAAGAACCACATTTTGAAGTTTGCTCCTGTGCCCTCTTACACCCTACAGGGCAGGGATAGAGGAGGAAGGCACAAAGACACACTGGGGATGGTGCTGCCCACCACCAGGTCCCAGAGTTGATGCAGTCAGAGAGGGCACTTCGTTGTTTCTTGGGCAAGGGGTGGCTTCTTCCCAAATGCAGGCAGTGGATGCCTAGTAGGAAGGGCCTTCCCTTGCTTCAGTCAAGCAGAGGAGGGATCTGAACCGAAACTTCCCATGTGCCAGGTGCATGGGCTGGAGCACAGAACGAAGTCCTGAAGGTGTCCAGTTCTTCTGCTTTACCAAGAGCAGCTCTCATACTCAAGGAAGTCAGTGGATTTTCTTAAGTCAGTTATGGGACTTGTTTGGCTTAGCAGAATTTCATCAGTGACCTTCTACAAACCCAAATGTCCCACAAAATAAACAAACAAAAAAAGTAGGCTTTATTATTTGGGCTTAATTATCAGTAGTAATTTAAAGATCCAGTTAATGTTCTCCCTGCTGGAGTTGATGATATTAACACTGCCTGACTGTTAGGCAGTGATATCCTGTGATCCAGAGCACACCCCACACCATGCTTGCTTCTCCATGTCTGTGCCTTCCTGCAAATGGACACATTCAGATCTGTCCTGAGGCTCCAAAGACTGATCTGAGCCTGCAATGGATGGTTGGTGATAGACCCTTCTAATACTACTTTTCTCCTCCCTAGCAGCAGAGATTTCTTTAAAATATCTTAGGGAAATCAGTGAAGGAAATGAGTTGTTATTGTACCTTGAGAATCTAATGCGCTTTTCAATTGAAGGTGCCACCCTGTGTGTCATATGTCAAGACAGAAGCTCACTACGGCAGACAATAGTCCGGTTGGAGTTGGAGGATGAGTGGCAGTTCCGACTTCGGGATGAGTTTCAAACTGCAAACAGTAGTGATGATGAACCACTCTATTTCCTTACGGGACGCCACATATAAGCTTTGCTGAGACACCGCTAACAAAGAAAAAGAAGAACTTTTTTTTTTTTATAAAAAGTACAATCACTGTGGAGAAAAGTGCAACCAATATTTATCTAGACTGCTCTAAAGGATTCCCTGCATTCTGGAGTAGCTTTATTCTTTGGGATAAGATTACCACATTGGTTATGATTTAAAAGATCCTGGATTCCAGTTATTTTCACTTCATTCACAACCTCCGACACTAATCACACAGCCAACCAAGCTGTAGGATCTGGAAAGATGTTTTGTCAAAGAAGAATCCTTTTTGTATTCAGCTGAGTTAGGGGAAGAAGCTGTTCTCCTCTTGCAGCTGTAAGCTTGAATGTGTTACATGAAACACACCCTAGCATGTGGAATTTATCGAAGATAGGTGGAGGAGAGCCCACCGTGTCTCTTCAGCTCTGTGCTGTGGTACAGGAATACTCAGGGGTTTGAAACTACAATATAAAGTAGATATTTGTGTTACAAGGAATAGTCTCGTTCTCTGTGCAGTGTTAGTTTTAAATTTGTAATTGTGTATGTATTGAAACTGTCTTTGGCAAAATTTCCACAGGTGTTCAAAGTTTACTACTTAAACCTGAACAAACGGGCAAGCGCATGGCAGGCACTGTGCACCCTTAGCAATGGTATTTTGCCCCAGTAGGCACCTCCTCCTCAGCTCCATGGCCCGAAGCAAAAGGATTCTCGGAGCTGCTCTCTTTTCAGTTAGAGACCAGAGTAACTTCCCAGCAAATCACTCTCCTCAGAGCTTTGGAAACTTGCGGTCCATCCTCCTTTGCGTTTGGAAATGAATCCTCCTGTCTGTCTGGTGCCTTTGTGGTGGACTGTCTGCAACTCTCTCCGTTTCCTTTACACTCAACTCCAGTTTGCTGAAGAACTGAGATCAGGTCTGAGTTGTTCCCATAGATGAAGCAACACACCAAGAAATGTGCAGAAGAGTAACAGTGCCTGAGCTGGACCCAAGAGAAACAGAAAGTATTCTACAGTAGCTCCAGGGGGGAACAGGGAAGAAATCCCAGGGAGCTGGGACTGCTCAGGAGGGAATCTCCAGAAGCAAAGATGTGTGAATCCGTGTACTTCTGTAAATACTGGCTCTGCAGCAATCGCACACTGTCCTATTTCCAGCCGCAACACTGATCCCAGTGAAGGTGTTCTGGAATTAACTCGGTGCCGTAGCATTTGGCTGTCAGGGGTGAATGTAGCAGTGCTCTGTTCCCCTCACACTTAGCAGGAGTTGCCTCATTGAGGTTTACACACACACCCCCCCCAACAATCATCTTTCTGCAAATTGTGACCCCCTTTATCAATAAGAAAAACGCAGTGTTCTTAAAGGCTATTCAGGAATATGAATTTACTCCCCAAAAAGCAATGGAATTAATGCATCTTTATACCTTAACTGCAGTCATTGCAGAAGGACCTGCCAAAGCAGCATTTTTTTAAGGCATAGTGTTAATTAAGCAACTTTTTTTATCTTGTGAAGAGATGTTTACAGATGAATAAACATAATATATTTGACAGAGGCCAAAGGAAAACGGTTTGCATATGTCTTTGTTGATGTAGCATTATTTCTGATGCTGTAAATTAAGCAAATTTCACATGAACAACCCCTTTCATTAAATTTATTTTTTATTTTCCTTCAGATACAACTTGCCTTACCTATTTTAACACTGGGAAGAAGTTGGGATATAAAAGATGATTCTTGAAGTGTTTGCTACATGCCTGAATGTATTCCAGTAGCTCTGGTTTTGCCAGAGGGCTTAAGGCCAGCCCCCAGTCTTAGCATGGTGTAGAGAAGTGTCAGGTACTACATGTTCAAAAATGGTTTCATTTTTGTTCGTGTATTTGATGTTTGCACTAAGTTCTTAAAATTCCAGGTGCTGAGACTACTAGGAGGAGTTAGCCCACTGGTAGAGCAGAGCAAAATCATCCTGAAGGCTGAGAGTGCATTTAGAAAATCAGTGTATTTGCCTACCTTTACCAGCTAATAGTAAACCCATTTCCTTAGTGCTCCCCCTATGGAAGCAAAAAGTTTTGGTAACGCTTTGGCCCGAGTGCACTACACCAGCCCCAACAGAGCAGGCCTGTCCCATGGAATGCTTTAAAGTGGCTGCCTGTGAATTCCTGTTAAGGAGACTCATGGTTCACAGGCACATGATTGCTATTCTGTTTTGGTTTTAAGCCTTGCCATTAAGACCATTCTTATGAATGTATGAAAATTGGCCAGCGTTATATTTTACCTGTAGATGTTCTTGTCTATTCACAGGTTAAAACTGAATGTAAACTAAGATTTAAAGAATCATATGCAGATGCTTTTTGCTTAACTTATGTAATTGCTTTTTGTGACTTTTGGAAGAGGGTTAAAAACATTGCTTTCCTAGTGTAAAGTTTTCTTAACCAAAAACTTGGTGAATTTAGCTTCACTAGTCAGTCTACCTCATGTTATTGTTTATGAACTGAAACTGTCTGAAGTTGTGGCTATGGTATGTTTATAATGTGCTTTCATTAAATTTGAATATATTAAGTTACCATTTCAGACTACCTCTCTCTTAATGAGCCCTGTTCTTGCTTTCTGAGCCCACCACAGAGGATTACTTCTAGAGTTCCTGTGCACCTGCACCACTTTTCTCACAAAGCTCTTTACAGGCTGCTCACAATCCCCAGGAAAATTACATGGGGCACATTGGAAACAAACAGCCTCTGCAGCCCAGAATTCACCACCATTCTGCTACTCCAGCTTTAAGTACTCTTGAGTATTGAGATACCCCATCTGGGATGGGGTACAGAGTCTTTGATTCAGCTCTAGACCAAAGCTAAAGACAGCACACTATAAACAAGCACCCAGGTTCCAAAATTGAAATGAACCCTAAATTTAACCTTAACTAGATCTTTCCAATCTTCCATTAGTGTTTTAAACTGTTACTCAAGACTGAAGGTATCCCCGCTCACCTTACTATAAACGTATGAGGATGGTCTTGATCCTGAGCTCCTGGGGGCACTTATCTTCAGCATGTTTTTCCCACCAAGAAAAGTATGAAATACACTAAAGATTCATTAACACTTAGTATTATACAGAGTAACTTTAAAAAAGCTATCAAGTATTTTATTTTTAATGTATCTACATTATGTACAGATCAAGAAAGGCCACAGCAGTTTTTCAACATACAAACCCTTTGAAAGAGGAGAGATTTATGAAGGAGCGACAAGTATCAAAGTGAAGTCCACTAACAAAGGTATATACTCAGTACAATACTTGAAGAATGACGAGTACACCAGTCCTTGGGCTTTTCATTCCACCTTTTACTCCAAAACTAATCTGGGGGAGAAGGGGACGGGGCCACAACAAGATTCCGATGCTGCTGCCAGGGAGCAGGCACCCTGACAAGGAGCAGGGTACAGGGGCACCCCAGAAGGCACCATACAGCCTGTGAGGGTTGTTGCCCACAGCAACTGCACTATAATGCTCCTGCCTCGATGCCACTGGGCACAGCCTGGAACTCTGCCAGACACGTACTGGCAGTGGGAGCTGGGGCAGGAGCCCAGCACTCCAGTACTGGGAAGCACTGGTATACCACCTTAGTAAGAACTTCAGCATGTACTCGTCAGCCAGACTAGAGTCTTTGCATTAGTTTACAGTCCACTATGAACAATTTTCTGCTGCATGTAAACATGACTACCTAGATAAAATACAATCAAACTTCTGTAAAAGTTAATAAAATATCTTTCTTTTAAAAAAACAAAGTTAGCCTATTACTGCATTGTTTACAATTTTAACAAAATAGTACAACCGTTTGGTTGTTACCAGTCCTGAGTTCACTGTAATAAAAATGGCCCTGGCTTCTGCTGAAGGTCTGCACCCACTCGATGCAGTTTGGCAGAAGTCTCCAATAAAAATGGAATTCCTGCAGAGCAGTTAAGTCTGGTGCTGTCCATTGAGGAAGTTGTATACCAGGAACTGGCCAGTGCCACAGTACTGTGTTGCAAAGAGCTTCCCATCAGGAGTGGGGTCAGAGAAAGCAATTTCCTCCTTGCTTAAGTATGAGCCATATATGAAGTTGCTCCTGTTTAAGAGAGGGGAAAAGGAGAAAATAAGATAATTACCCTCAAGGAATAATGAAAAATATTTCTGCTATTAGGCCACAAACCATTAATTAAGCAGCACAGACATTCAAAAGGAAGGAGTTCTGTTAGGAGGAGATAGCTCTATTCATGCAATTTATCTCCTCCTTCCAAAGAGCAAGGATGATCACTTGCTCTGGGAGGGTTTTTTAAAGGTCTGGTATTTTAAAAGGAATGTTTGCAAAGAACAATTGCATCAAGAGTTCAAATTTAGAATTTAAAATAAAAGGTTTGCATTAATTCCAAATATTTTTTAATAAAAAAGAAACTGCTGGTGCTGTGACTACAATCACTAGAATTGAAAACAAGCTACAAAACAAGTTGGGGTGCTTATGGAGGGGCCTCAAATGACCAATCTCAAGGCATAATTCCTAAATACACATTCAATAATTAACTATACAAAAATAAAGAATCAATTTGCTCAACTTGTTCATGAAGAGTATTTCTTTGTTGTATGTTTTAGTCTTATTTGAAGGGAGAGTGAGAATCAAGGGATACCATTCTAATTCTCTGTCTGGCTACGTGAGCAATTTTAGAAAACTGAATTCAGGCTTTAAGACCTCAATTGGTCTTAAAGGGGAGGTGATATTTTATCCTTAGAAACAGAAGAAACTCCCTTTAGATTTAAGTTCTTTAGTTTCTATAAAATAACCATAAATGTACCTGAAGAGCAAGCAGGAGCTTCACTCATATGGACATCTCCATTAAATACTGAGGAAAAGATAACAGGAACAAAATCCTTTTTAATTACTACCACCTTTATTCTATTCTCTTTCATGTGTTCAAAAAGATGATTTTGCAAGGTTTAATCTTAAGACTGTCTGACTGGGTTTCTGTGACTCCAAGGTACTGTCAAAGCCTGACTGAAATGAGGCAGCCAGTCTCAAAATGGACCTCAGTCTGTTCCCATGCCTTCAACATTCTGAAGTCAGGATTTAGCTGGTTACCAAAATTACGCCATTCCAAGTACCTTCTGCTATGGAAAACATTTAGGTTTAGGCAGCTGAGCAGATGTAACTGCTTACTGCCATCCCAAAGCAAGTCTCACTCCTTTCCTTTGCCTTCTGCAACTTCCTAGGCTCCCTCATCTATAATGCCAAACTTTTTAGTGAATACAGCAATGAGTTACTGGAAGGCCAGACAAGCACCAGAGCTCAGCAAAGGGCAGGTGGAGGGCGCAAGTAACACGAAAACTGAGGCCTCACTAGTTGTAACAAACCGTCAAAATTGATTCTAAAGATCCTTTAGGGCTGTAGCTGAGGAATTAACTCCTGCATCATTTTGGAAGAGAAATCTTTCCTTTAAAGACTGTTTCTAGGAAGCTACAGAACACACTATTAAAAACCTGCCAAAAACATAGGCAAATAACGAAGTTCATATGCTTATCTGAATACAGATTTACTGTAAATAGATAAGCCAAAACATGACCTTGATTTGCTCCACCAGCCGGGCAAGATGAATTGTGCAGGGCAGAAAAACTTTGCTAAGCTCTCCAAATACCCAAGAGGGTGAGGACTGCTGGAGGCAGCAGTACCTGTTCTAGAAACTCCAGCAAGATGAGAGAAACACAAAACTGACAGCCCTAAAAACCTAAACAGTCCTAAGATTTGAGCAGTTCTTGCCATTACTCAGAACTGACATTTAAATTTCTTGGAAAGAAACCTAAGGTTTGGAGACTCAACATTTTTAACATTTATCTAGACAATAGCACAGATGTGTGAGTCCTTTTTATGTATGTAGCGTTTAGCATTCAGCTGGAACACACTCATCACTAGCTATTAAAGCTCCTTGGAAGTTGAAAATATCCATAAGGTTCAGTGAACCTGAGTATATATTAAAAAAACAAACCTAAGCAATAGCAGGAAGCCACCAGACTATACCCAATGGGTGCATTGGGTCTGTTACGTCCCACTTTGTACCTAGAAGGAATGGACAATCAGCCAATGGTTGGGGTCCCATTCCAGGGGTAATCTCACACTTTGACCAAAGACAGTCTTGTGTCCTTTTTACTCATAATTACTGTGGAGGAATTTCACCCTGAGAGTCTGCCAGGGTGACTCATTACAATTGCACTCAAAGATTTCTGTGAAAGACTAACTATTATAGAGTACGGACGTTAGTTACTGAACTCCACCTTATACTGGAACTGTCAGCTGTGCTCAAATCCATATCCCCAATATCACCAGCAGTCTGGAAATACAAGCCTGAAACACACAAACAATCAATGTCTTGGACTGAGTTCTGTCTAAGCCATGTGTAGCTGAAGAATGTTTTTGTCTTACCTAAGACATTCAATCATCCGAGAAGCGATCTTCTTCCGGCGCATCATGCTGAACACCCAGATCCGACTGATCCCACAGATAGCAGGTTCTGGAGAAGTTGAACAGCACCATGCTTTCTGTCTCTCAAATATCACTTTCTCATTTTCTGAACTGACTTCTGGAACCTTCTCTTCTATAACTCTGTAGCCCTGCAGATGATATGAAAAACACTTGTCACTTTATAAAAGCATCACTAATGACTGAAGAAAATAATTCATGTTTAATTTATTTCAGTTAAACATACTTGGCTGCTAAAATGCCTTACCAAAAAGACTGTATTTTTGTGTCTCATTTAATTTTTCATAACAGTTTCAAAAATCAAGCAGATGACAGAAGATTAAATAAACAAAAAACCCTCTGAAGTTTATTTCACTTAAAATAACAGCAACAAATACTCCAATTCTTATTGCCATCTGTATTAAAGTGTTTGCATTGATTTCTCTGGCTTTGGCTAAGATTGTTTTGCTTGTTGTCTGATACTCCCAAGGGACAGTAGAAAACACTACAGTTTGGAATGGACAGATTACGTGACATCAGTGATTACTTGTCCCGCCTTCCAGTGCAGTTTTGTCCTCTGCTTTTATTTCTTGTGGAGCTGTTTGACCCTGTGGTCATTCAACTCAATCATACAGAGCATCCACTCTTTCAACCATGCTGGATTTCTGCTGGGTAGGGAGTCGAACCTGCTTGTCAACAAGAAGAGCACAGAGCCAGAGCTGCAGAACAGCAGAGGAAGAAAAATTCCACCCTCAGCTGTAGCAAGTTTTCAGATGATGAGGTTTGTCTAAGCCAAGTATGACGCCATCCATGTGTCTCTGCTCAGAATCAACCACACAAAACTGCGTAACTATATTTCAGAATGGTCCAACCACCCAGTCTCTTCCTCTGTGGAACAGGCTTACACAGAATACTAATTTGCTGTGAAAAACAGTTACTAAGCACTGACACAGATTATCTTTCTCCAATTCAATCACTTACCCACTGGATATGTTCTGCAATTAAGCAGCCAATGACTTTTTTGTCATTAGAAATAAAAAGAAGAGTTTTAGTTCTAGAGTAGCACATGAGAGGAGTTTGCTGAAATCCCAAGTCATTGTCTACCATTTCTCGTATTTCTTCAACCTGCCAAAATAATTTTAAATGCTGTATAAGAAACACATCTAAATGCACATTTTTATAAATTTACATTACATTAAAATCATAGATTTGCAGAAAGGTATTAGGGTATCTAGAACACTGAAAGCTATTCCAAAAGTTAAGGATCAACCTAGCTGCAACACATTATCTGCATAAATGTTCCTTAAACAATAGTCGTCTCGAATAAGGAAGAGTAGAGACCCCTCAGTAAGCTTCCATTAAGTCCCAACTTTATTAGTCAAAGGTTAATAGAGAGAATGCAGATAATCGATCTGTGAGCTCTGATATTTTAGAAGTCAATCAGATCTACAAGGAAAATTAAAGCAATTTACAATTTTTGTTATTTTTGAAGTCTTGAAAGAACTAATTTATTAAGGATTTTAGCAGATGACAGCAGGCACAGTGCCAAGGCAGACAAAATGTAAGCATTTGTTTTAAAGGAATAACTGCTCTTTCCTTTAGCTTTCTACTCTTCCATTGGGTTTTCAAAGAGCAACTGAAACTAAAAGTTTTGTTTAGTATTAGCAAGTTTAGAAGAAATAGATAAACTTCAGCATGAATGTAAATGAAAGCTTATGCATGAGATAACTTTTTACTGAGTGCTTCCTGAACCTGAATCTGTACATTGGAACAGCCTCTATCATCCCTCATCTTCTGTAAGACAAAAAAAGGCACCCTCACCTATGGTTTATTGAAAGGCATTAGCTTCTTGAATGCATGTTGTAGTTACAGTAGTAATGTGAAAGGACAATTACTGATGCTGTGAGTATCACAGAATGCATCAGGCTG